GTAGTCAAGGGTCTACAATTTATTGTAAAACCTAATTTTGTAATTTGCGGTCACTAATTTATTAATAAATTCGGTCTGAAAAATGCACTTTTTTGTGAATCTCGGAGTGAGTTCTACGCAAATATACTGTGGATGGCGTAGCCGGAGTTATATGCATAATAAATGTTGAATAGCTTTGACAACAGAAAGGTGTTCTGCACAAAAATACTGTTCATCGAGTTTACATATTAGACCATTTTCCAATGGTTCCCCAAGGGTATGTGGAAGGTTTCGAGGGATCTAGTGTGACTTATTACAAAGTTTGAACTGTGCTCTTCGTAGTGGGTTAGATATCCAGACCCGCGCCCCCTACCCCTCTTCTCATTCTTCCGCATTGTTTACATATGCCTATGCGCTTTGGCATTTCTCTCTCGCAATTGCATCAAGATGACGTCACGCAAAACTTACGCTGGAATATCCTCTCTCATGGGCGCGATCTTGTATTCTATCATTCTTGGATATTTTTAGAAGTATTTTCTTACTCACGCCGCAGGCTTCAAGCCATAATAAGTTTATCTCACAAAAGGAAGCGCTGGAAATTTTAAGAGTTTTTTACCAACTTCCCTGCAGTGATATTTTGTACTATTTTTGCAGCCTCCAAATGCTCAACTAATTTTTCTTTTTATTATATTAAAAAAATCGTTTATTTCTTGCTCTGTCGATCAAATCCTTTTTAGAAAAAAAAAATTATTATAATTTTCAATCTGGTAGCTAGATTTTGATCATGGTGGAATTATACAAGGTGTTGTACGTAGTGACAGCTCATGTCGACAGCTCCCTTACAAAAGGTTGTAATATGGAAGCACGAGAGAAACGGGAAGAAAAAAAGCCCGCTTTGCGAAGTAGTTCGAAATTTGGTACTATTTTTCATATAAAATTTTGCATATAAATAGTTACAAACGGTATATTATGATAAGCTAAATTCGCGAAAGTAGTATATATAACGTAGTACTTATGCAATAAATGGTAATTTAGTTTATTAAACACAATGTCCTATAATTATAGTCAAACTTCCAAAACCAAAAAATTAGTGGTGACCCCGAGTCGTTACATGACGGAATCGACAAAAGGGCGCATCGACGGATGGGGAGAATATTTCATCGAACAAAATGCCAACTAAAGATGTGGAGCTTGCATCGCAATGCAAGCTGCGACCGTTCTGAACTGAGATGCCAGACAAATGGTTTCTACAAATTGAGGCCACCTTTCAGTCGTACAAGACCACATCTTATGTCGGTAAATATAATCTGGTCCTCTCAGCAATTAGCAGCGATGCTTTAAAGGAAGCTGCGGATGTTTTAAAAACCTTACCAACTCAAGACCGATATATTAACCTCAAAAGTCAACTACTGTCACGTTTTACTGATTCAGCCGACCCACATAGGGTATTTGGCTGATTTAGGCATATTTTTATCGCTACAAACATCAAATATAGTTTTAGTTATCGAATAAAACATTCACTATAACTACCCTGTTACTAATAGAAAATTCAATCGTAGTGAAATCTTATTTATTGTCAATATTATTGTGGCTTATTAACATTTGTTTCCATATTGTTATTGAGCTTTGTAGCACTATTATGTTTTTAGGGAAAAGGGAAAAAGCAACAAAGTCTTAGCGGTAGAAGTTACCAAAAAAACAGTTATATCGTTGGAAAAGCAGGGCCAGTGGCAGTGAACCACAGACGGGATTGCAGCAGCAAAAATCACTGGGGAATAGATGCATAGTTAAATACGTAGTTCTTGTTTAAATCTTCCATCTAAACTTACCAAGAAAACAGTTATATCGTTGAAAAAGCAAGGCCAGTGGCAGTGAACCACAGACGGAATTGCAGCGGAAGGAAGCACCGACCAAAATAACTACAAATCTCTCTACTCTAAACCGATGTTTTTTTGCCGAATTAATGTTGAAATTTCTAATTTAATTTTCAGTTGCCAACGATAAGAATAGAGTAAATGTCAAAGAATTGTTCAGTGATTGCAAATCAGTTTTGGAATAGGGAATGAGGTAGTTTAGTACTTTTTTAAAGGCGATAAAATGTAGTTTTTTCAAGAGGGAAACACCGATATAGCTAAGGGAGCCAAGATGGCGGATTAGAGCGAGAACGCTGTCAATATCCAACACCTTGTATTATTCCACCATGGATTTTGATAAAATGTAATAATCCCAGCAAAAGTCAAATGGCTTACATGGCTGCTAATGTCATTAAGTGAAACTACCTTCTTAAGGCAGCAGCAGAAGTTCTCGGCAAATGCGACGAATAAACTTTTTCGCATTATGGCTACACTTCCAGCTAGTAACGTTACTTCAGAAAGAAGTTTTTCAACCCTTCGCCGGTTGAAAACATGGTTCCGTAGTACCATGAATAAAGAAGGACTGATAGGTCTGAAGGCAATATAGAGAGATTCGCACAAGGAAAGCGCAAAATAGAGTTTGCAATTTAAATTATTATAATAAAAATTCTAAATAGTTAATAAGTTACTTAATTACATCCTTCATTTCACAAACATTGTAAGCAAAAAATAAGTATTTATATACATACATATGTATATACATTAGACTGCATCACTTCCCATACAAAAAAAAAAAATCGGTACCATTTTTCCATTGGAATTATAAAATCTATTATATTTTAAGACGTCCACCAAAATATTTCGGAAAAATATTAAGATTTACGTGAGCTGGACCGATTTGAAAATACCTCTAAAAATGGAGTTTTTTATGAATAAAAATAGTTTCTTAAAGTTTTTTTTTTTAAATCCCCTCAAATGACAAAACGGTTTAAGCTAAAAAATTTGCAAAAACATTTAAAAAAAATTCAAAAAAAAAAAAAATTAACGGAATCGTAATGATGAGATTTTTGATGCTGTTTTTTTAAATTTTTCTAAGATTGGTATAAGAAAAACTTTAATAACTGAACCTTAACTCTTCCGTTTTAGACTTGTGAGGTATCATTGGAAAGGTATTTTCGCACCCTTTTTATTTCTTTGCTACGTCATTAAAAGTTGAATTAAGATGTGTTGGTATTTGAAAAAAATAAAAATTGGGACACGAATGACATTTTTTGACAGAAATAAAAACAGTGTGAAAATACTTTCTACTGAGATCCCATAAGACTAAATCAGAATAGTTTTGGCCCAGTTATTCAAGTTTTTCGTAAATCAATCTTTGAAAAAAGTAAAAAAAAAACAGCATCAAAAATCTCATTCTTACGATTCCGTTGAGAAGATTTTTAAATATTTTTATGCAGATTTATTAAGCTTAATCTGTTTTGTCATCTGAGGGGACTTTTTTCAAAAAGTTCTTTAAGAAACTATTTTTATTCATAAAAAACTCCATTTATGGAGGGATTTTCAAAACGGTCCAGCTCACTTAAATCTTAATATTTTTCCGAAATATTTTGGTGGACGTCCTAAAATATAATAAGTTTTGTAATCCCGGCGGAAAAACCGCAACTTTTTTTGGTGATGCAGTCTAATATACATATATACACTTAGGTTTCTTTTTATGCTGTACATGCGTTCCTCAGAAAGCCGCATAAAAAAAAATTTGCATAAAAAGGTTCTTTACTTTCATACAAAAACAGGGGATGCGTTCCAGCATTTTCAAAAACAGCATAAATTAAGATACTCCATGTGAAAAATTCTTAAAATTCGCATAAAAAATACAGTGAGGAGTTATTAAGAAAAAAAAACAATTTATTTCTTCACTTCAACACTTATTATTCCACGTAAAACTGAACATTAATAAAATAAATAAAATTTTATCTGTATTTTGAACAAAGATAAATAAAAATACTACAATAAGTACATGAATTATGTAAGAATACAAAGACAAATTATTTATAAGCATTGCCTCTTACACACTGTAAGTAATAAAAACTCTGAAAAAAACAAAATCGCTACTGCGAAATAATGGTTTGAAAAACCGCATAAATTCAAATCCGCATAAAAAAAAA